ATCAAAATCCTTTCTTTGTAGCACTCAAGCAAGGCTTAGTCCGCTGGGTCCATAGCGAGGTCGTGTTCTTCTGTCACGGTGAGCTGTGTGGCAGGAAGAGGTTGGACCCAAAAGCAGGACTCTGAGACAAAAACTTAGAGCAGCAGCTTCAATACCTGACAAAACAAATTACAAACAAAGTACATGAACACTAAGGAAACAAACGAAGATAAATTAGAACTAAGGATCTCCCAACTTGGCAACTTATGACCTGACGAGACTTGACATGACTGGAGAACATTGAACTAACAGAAAAACGCACAGCTCACGTGGGAATGTACAACAGGAGGGAATACCGCTGGACCTAATCTGATATAATAAGACAGGAAGGAAGCAAAATTGAATACACTAACACAGGACACGGGACTATCAAAATAAAAAAAAAGCAAGTCAAGTACGGAGACGAGGACGAAGCCACTCGAGCTTAACACTGAGACTGAGGAAGAAACAATATTAGTTTCCCATAAGTGCAATATTATTAAGTGCAATTTTTCTGATCCAACATAGTATTTTATTCTATTTTTTTCTAGTGATGTCTTCTTTTTGTTTATAGTATGTTATTCTATTTTATCTTTTTCTATTCTTTTGTTTTTCTTAATTTTTGCTGCTCTTAACTTCGTACTGTCCACTTTCTGCCATGACCAAACAAATTTCCTACGAGTGGGACTATTAAAGGTTTATCTTATTTTATTATAGAAACTATAAATATTGCATGAGCCCACACAATTCAAGAACCAAAACCACAAATGATACAAAATCAAAGAATATAAGAAAAAACCCAAAAACACATCAACACTGGGTCACAGATCCAGTGCCATGACACTGCCAGTTTTAGAGAACAATAAAATGCTGTTTCTGTGAATATCAAAATTTTATCTTGTCCATTCATGATCCACGAGTAACAAGTATGCTTACCTATACAAATGAGGTGTCATTGTTGGTCCCTTATAAAAAAAGAGTATATGTGGTTGATTGATTGTTGTCAGAACTATATTATATTATTCTTGTATTATTTAGAAAAAGTGTAGAACTGGTCTGTGGGCATCAAGGCTTTATGTTTCTGTGCTCATTGCATGTTTAAATTAAAAGGGGACTAACCAGTTTGATATTCGACTCATAATATTAATAACAATAAAACTACTACTACTACTAATAGATGTAGTTAAACTTGTAGAGGTAGTCATAGCCTGTTCTTTGTAGTAACAACTCAACCTACAGCGTCATGTGCGTGCGTTATCGTTTATATAGTTCCAAAGAGACTGAAAATAATCTCTCTGTAACAGCACGATCTGCTGAACCACTTTACTAACGTCATCTAGTACTGTCATGATAGAGATAACTAAAGAGGATTAGTCCTCATAGACTGATGATCCCTCCATGAGGCTGTCAGTACACTGTTATATATCCTGTTTTGCTGCCACTGTCAGGGCTCTGTGTGCGGGGAGGTGGAGATGTGGATCCAAGTGCAGGACTCTGAGACGGAAATATAACTGAAAACCTCAGCTTTATTGCTGGCACCAACAAAACAGAAACCAAACATGAAAACACTAACTGGAACACACAGGCAGGATCTGAGGGTACGACGCGACACCGAGCATGGAAAACACAGGGCTTAAATACACAGGGTAGTAATGAGGGAATGGGCAACAGAAGGGAGTCACAGCTGGGGGAGATCAGGGCTAACGAGACGGGGGAGCTAAGCTGCACACACTAACATAAGACAAAGACTTTCACAATAAGACAGGAAACAAGAATTACTAAACCAGATGCAGACATGACACAGAGACAGACTAGACACTGAACAGAAACTGCAATGAGAACCCAAAACCTAAGAACTGATCCCTCACCAAGAATAACAGAAATAGATCTATAATGATAATAATAAACAAAGCACCAGAACATCAGAAAACAATCCATAATGCAAAAATACACCAAAACATAATAAACTCAAAATACTGGGTCCAATGGACCCAGAACCGTGACAGCCACAATCAGATGGATTAGGCAAATGTACTAAGAACTAACGAGATGCCAGATGGCTTTATCCAATTAAATTATGGGGTCCAAAGATGTTCATCTATCTCATATATATAGCACCGAGTGCTCCGATTACCACGGGGACCACTGTTACCTTCACCCTCCACATCTGCTCCAGCTGTTCTCTGAGCCCTTGGTACTTCTCAAGGTTCTCGTGTTCCTTCTTCCTGATGTTGCTGTCATTCACTACATCGATCACTACGGCCGTCTTCTTCTGTTTGTCTACCACCACTATGTCCGGTTGGTTAGCCACCACCATTTTGTCCGTCTGTATCTGGAAGTCCCACAGGATCTTAGCTCGGTCATTCTCCACCACCCTTGGGGACATCTCCCATTTTGACCTCGGGACTTCCAGGTTATACTCGGCACAGATGTTCCTGTACACTATGCCGGCCACTTGGTTATGGCGTTCCATGTATTCCCTGCCTGCTAGCATCTTGCACCCTGCTGTTATGTGCTGGATTGTCTCTGGGGCATCTTTACACAGCCTGCACCTGGAGTCTTGCCTGGTGTGATAGACCCCAGCCTCTATGGATCTTGTGCTCAGAGCTTGTTCCTGTGCTGCCATGATTAGTGCCTCTGTGCTGTCTTTCAGTCCAGCTTTGTCCAGCCACTGGTAGGACTTCTGGATATCAGCCACCTCCTCTATCTGCCGGTGGTACATACCGTGCAGGGGCCTGTCCTGCCATGATGGTTCGTTCTCTTCCTCTTCTTTGTTGGGTTTCTGCTGGCTGAGGTATTCACTGAGCATGTGGTCAGTTGGGGCCTGATGTATTTGTGGATGTTCGCTGTCTCATCCTGGACTGTGGTGCGGACACTCACCAGTCCACGGCCCCCTTCCTTCCGCTTAGCGTACAGCCTCAGGGTGCTGGACTTGGGGTGAAACCCTCCATGCATGGTCAGGAGCTTCCTTGTCTTTATGTCAGTGGCTTCTATCTCCTCCTTTGGCCAGCTGAGTATCCCAGCAGGGTACCTGATCACGGGCAGGGCGTACGTGTTGATGGCCCGGATCTTGTTCTTACCGTTCAGCTGACTCCTCAGGACTTGCCTGACCCTCTGCAGGTACTTGGTGGTTGCAGCTTTCCTAGCGGCCTCTTCATGGTTCCCATTTGCCCGTGGGATCCCCAGGTACTTGAAGCTAACCTCTATGTCTGCAATGCTGCCTTCTGGTAGTTCGATCCCTTCAGTTCTGACTACCTTCCCTCTCTTCGTTACCATCCGACTACACTTCTCCAGTCCGAACATTATTCCGATGTCATTGCTGTATATCCTGGTGGTGTGGATCAGTGAATCGATGTCTCGTTCACTCTTGGCTTGTCGTCATCCACGTAGAGGAGGTGGCTTCCAGTTGCTCCATTTCGTAGCCAGTCTTATGAGGGGGAAACCAAATAACAGAACCTGAAAACAAGAACTCAGGAAGTACTGGCAAACTAGGAAGCTAGAAATACTAGGACAGAAACCAAAACAAACAGTCATACTCATAATAACATCAAAAGTAAAAGTACAGAAACCCAAAACACTGGGTCACCAACCCAGGACTGTGACAAATATATTCCCACAGAAAACTGCTGCTCTAAGCCTAATTTTAAGTAGAAGCAAGAGTTAAATCACCTGCTGAGTTAATCTTATCTGCCAATCTGGCTCTTTCAACACAAAGGCAAAGGAACATGTGAGAAAGAAGCAAAATGTAAATACAAGAAAGAATCTTATTTAAATCAAATCAGGGAACAAAACTGAAATACTTCACAGAAGACCAAGACCATAACTCATGGGATCATGTGTGCAGTCCTGATGCAAAGCATTGCACATTCCTCTTAGGACATTTTAGGAATGAGAAATGATTTATTTATTCCATATTAGACAAATTCTTTTGCTGAAGTAGGCGAAACAATGACGAAATAGTAATATATATACATATATGCAAATATTCTGGCTGTTCCCTTATGCATAAGAGTCCACCACAGCATGCAGCTCTGCATGTTTGATATGTGCTGAATCATGAACAATAATAATAATAATGTTTTTTTTTCATGTTAATGGAAGAATTATGTGAATTATGTTTTTTCACTTCCTGAACTTTCTACATATATTCTACATTACAGTGATGTGTTTGATTTTATTTCTCAGCTGCATGTTCATTTGGTAACATTTGTATACAAAAAAGCAGGTAATATATCATCTAACAACTTTATGTTAAAAATGTCACTCATTGTAATCATAGTTGAATCAGCTCTGTTCGTAGCAGCATTTTGTTTTTCCTACTTTTGTTTTGGCAGATTTGTTGGTAGTTATTATGTCCAGTAATAACCACAGAGGGCGGCCACATTAGCTAAAATAATAGCTGAATGAGTATAGTATAGATTGACTCAGTTAATTGGTTTGAATTCTGATGGTGTCCTAATCCTCCTCTAGTTTATGCAGTGTTCTGTCAAATTAGTATCTTGTGAGCGAGATCCATCATCTGTTTTTGTCTTAATATTACATAAATAATACTACATAATAACAATTCATAGCTAAATAATACTTAACTTAATGAATAAACATAAATTATGTAATAAAAAATAACTAAATGATTCTACATGAAAAGTTAAAGGTATTGCTGTTAGAAGCAGGATGGTATAAAGAGGTTTTATTTTTAGGCTTAGACTATTTGAGCTTCTAATTGGAGACAGTCTGACCAGCGTATGATCACTTCATCTACTTATCGTTGCCAGATCTTGCATAACTCTTACAACTGCATCCTGTTACTGTTGTGCAGTTACCAGCTAGTCAACACTTCAAAAACCTCCATATTATATTATTATTTCACAATATACATACACAGTGTTCTTTGTTGCATGTGTATACTTCAGCTAGGCATTTCTAAGAACAACACCAGTCATTATCAGAGCTGAGTGGCTTATGCACCTGTTTGTTGTTCCCAGCAGAGGGAGCACAGCAGCTCAGAGCCCAGTGGGAGAGCGCAAGCAGAGTGCAGTGCAAACACCCCTGAGGTGAGTTTCTGTATGTTTGCAGTGTAGCAGTAGTGTATGGCTTGCAGTAGATTAGTGGGATCTTGTGTACATCACAACAAGTGCCTTGTGCCTCTGCTAGCAGCATCCATTTTAGTTGATTTAGTTCTGCATTCAAACTTGTACACTCATCAACAGTCATAGCATGGCAGAACACTGCAGCCCAGCACAGCACTTGGTTCCTTAAGAAGCAGCTGGAGGAATCTGGTGCTGCATAATCCCAGTAACAGTAAGCTCGAAATGTAAACAAGATTAGTGCTTGGCACCAGAATAACAACTGCTGTGGTAATAATATGTTAGTGGTACAAACTGGGCTGGAACGACGTTAGCCAAGCTTTTTGTTAGGGTCTCAGAGCAGGGACTGGCCTGTCTGAAGATGACAGTGTTAGTTTGCTAAGCAGTACTAACTGAACATGATTAAGAACCTGAGAGTTTATTTGTTTGAATGGAAATTAAATCTTTCCTGTGCAAATTAGGCTCTCTGACATGATCATAGTATGACAGAGTATGATCAGAGAGTCTGATTTAAGAAACTAAATGTCTGTAAAACGTCCAGTTTTAAATCAATGGGACAGCAATACTGTTCACTCCGTGTTTGTCTGTATCAATCCGTAGTTTTGTACTCATAACATAAATCTTAGTGAATTTCATTCTCCTTTATTCATTGTAAATTAAAATGGAGCCAAGTAGAAGTTGTCTATAGCCATCGAGACTACAGTCATGAAACCCATTATTGCATTTCAGAAGAAAATGTTTTGTGTTCATTTGTATAGGACATGCAAAGTGTACAGTGGATTCTTCAGTAAATCCGTCATGCAAATAGCTTGCACTGTCAGTGTTGTTGCATACAACAAGTGGCAGCTCTAACAAAGGAGGTTAAAGCATTCCTGCTCTGTAATGCAATAAGTCAAAGCTACCTGAGCCACATCGCCTGAAAAGATTAGCTCTGTCATTCTGGCAAAGACAGTTTGTGCTTGCAAATGTCTTCAGTAAGAGCAAGAAGCAACTGGGACTGGAGGGGTGCTGCTTCAAACACTAATGAAGGCAGTAATCAAGGTCAAAATCTGCAACACGCCTCTTCTGCAGCATGACTCCAGCAAACAGGTACCGTGACAGCTGATGTGGAGGAAATGAGCAGTTCAGGTTCTCATAAGTGGGAGATGGATCACATGGGAAGGGTTAAAGGTCTGTGTTATAGTGCTAGACTGACTAGAACGGACTAGAACTACACTTTCTTCCGCACAGTTATATAGTACGATAGATGCTGAGTTAGTAATGATGTACGTGTAACCATGGGAGCTTACCACCATCGTAACCAGCACAAAAGATTCGAATACAAACAACAAAAGAAAATATACAGAAATTTGGAGTTTATGACAAAGAAAAATTAACTGATGAAAATAACTTTGATGTGTGAGTTTGTCTGTGTTTTTTCAGCAGTGTGAGCATGTCTTATTGTGCTCTAATTGTTGCCTAGACTGAACACTTGCATGCTCCAACACAGCATGCTGCTTCTTTGGATTATAGCTTAATGCCGTTGCTGCTGCCTGTTGGAGGATACTGATCTGATAACAACACATCCTTTAAGTCCTGAAGGTTGTGAGGTGGGACCTCCATGAATCGAATTTATTTGTGCAGCAAATACAACAGATGTTTGATTAGACTGTTTTATATAACCAGTTATGGTCCTCAAACCATTCCTGACCCTTTTTAGCAGTTTGAGCTACAGTAGCTTGTCTGTTGGATCAGGTCAGATGGACCAGCCTTCGGTCACCACGTGAATCAGTGAGACTTGGCCTCTCATGACCCTGTCACTAATTCCTCACTGTTCCTTCCTTAGAACACTAAATAGATGCATCCATCAATATGAATGTGTGTGAATGGTAGTTAGGAATTATTTAAAAGCGTACAAAAAAGTGCTTGTGTGACTGACTGTGAATGGGTGAATGTGGCATGTTGTATAAAGCACTGAGTGCTCCAGAATTGTAGAAAAGTGCTATATATAAGATAATATATAATATATAAGCAGAGGCGTCACACAATACACAGAATGTGAACCTGACAGCGGACTACAGCAACCTCCTAAAGGAAGAGCCATGACGTGATCCTCGCCTAGTGGCTGAAGAACCTCGTGGCACTCTATGATCACCTGGCAGCACAAATAAATTGCTAAGAAAAGGCAGATTAATCAAGATCATGAAGGATCCCCACAACAGTACAGTGAATGAGCACAACAGCGATCAGGGAGTTCTAGTTTCAGAGAGATGAGCAGCTGCTGGCTAACAATCCAGACACAGTGGTGGTTGCAAGGATCTGAAGACCGCCGTCGTGATAATGTGGCAATCCCAGCAGTCAGGATGTTACAACCTGCCTCAAAAGCCACAACATAAAAGTGGAGACTGACACAAGAGTTATAAGAAGCATAGGTTATATTTTTAATTACAGCAAAACTAAATGCTCTTAAATGACATGTTAAAGCAAACATGGATGCCCCTACATGAGGATCACAAGTTGCTGCACTGAACACAGAAAAGTAATATGTGACCAACAAAAAGAGGATACAGCAGCCACAAACCAAAAGAAATACCACAACGCAAACCACAAGTAGCAACCAATATTTCCAACTAAGTGATCTGTTTGTGTAGTCACAAAGTGAATTATCAAGTAGTCCTAGATGTTGTGGACTATGTAGCTAGCTGCTGGAACGTAATATTTTCACAAGATAACATGAGATTAAAAGAGCGGGTCTACATGCAATGATGCTAGCGCTAGCCATGCTAGCATGCTACCTCCAACAGATAGTCAGACTGAGTCCACAGGTGATGACTCAGAGTCAGTTTTTTACATATCCATGTTAGAAAAAGCGGGAATAGCAAGGCTAAATGCCTTTTTAGAGTGTGTGCTTGTACAAAGGGCAGTGCAAAGTTTTCAGCGTAAACAGCAGTGTTGTTCAATTCAAACAGTTAGCTACGTCTTCCCCTCCGTGAATCGCTAACCAATCAGTGAGCTCCTTATATTGCAGCAGACTGCATTACTTTTTCTCCAAGGACCCAAAAACAAAGCAAAACAAAACACGGAAATGGTAATGGGCATAGGTAATCTGATAGTTTACAGCTAATTCTGTAGCTAATCCCAAAGATAATGCATTTGTTAATATGATCGCTATGAACTGACAGGAAAGGTAAATGCAGTGAGTAAATGGTTTTGAAAATGAGGAGTGGAATCAATTTTAAATGTCAGAAATAAATCTTGATTTTTGAATCTTTTTATTTCTCTTTTTAAAATTGCATTTTAAAAAAGATTGATTGAATGATTTCAAAATGTATTTTGGTTTTTATAAAGAGTTAAATTTTTTGTGAAAATATAAGCTTCTTTAGTTAATGTTTTTATTCATTTATTTTATTATTCATATTATTGTCTGTGTAGATACTGTGCTGGAGTGGACAGGGGGTGAAGGGTAGATTGGGAGAAAAAAAGTGGAGGAATAGAAGAAGAAAAAGGACAGAAAAAAGAGAGAAAAGAATGGGCGTTTGGGGAATAACAAGAGGAGAGGCGTGTAAGATTGTACCTATGCTTGCTGGTCCCAACCCTCGATAGTCACGTTTTGGGGGGTTTAGCAATCTTGGGGGGTTTACGAAGGATAATCTTTACGTTTATCCTTCGTACTCTATATTCCAATGATTGTTTTACTCTGTGTTGTTGTTGCTGTTGTCCTTGTCCTGGATATGTCTTCCATAGTTGCTATTTTGTTTTCTCAATAATAAAAAACAAACAAACAAACAAACAAACAAAAAAGAAAGGAGAAAAAAGCTAATTATTCACTGGTTGTTTAAGAAAAAGGCATTGTTGCTTTCTCCTTAAACATTTCTCTCTGGGACTTTTCCCACTGACTATATTTTTAGAGATTTTTGGGAGGGGGGTTTAGAAAGACTCACCACACACCCAATGCTGCATTAGAGTCGCATTAGAATTTCTTGACATTCTGACTGAAAGAGTAATAAAAATTCTATCATCTCATTTCACAAGCAACTCCCTAACGTTATCTAATACGAGTTTGTATGAATATATGAGGACATAGAGAGAAAAGATGAAAACCAACTGTGCAAATCAAAAACACGCCAACAGCATTGTTGTCATGTTTGACTTTTGGCCACAGAAAAAGAAGGCTGCAAAGCTTAGATGCATGAAAAAGAAACACAAATTTCTTTTTCATGCATTTATAGAATCTTAGGCAAGACTGAACTGCACTGCAAGTTCTGTACTGAGTTCTTCTTCATATAACTGGATGTTTCATTAAGTAATTTCAGTTGAAAATTGTCAGAGGTTAGTTCCCCAGACCTCATCCACCTGGGAGTGTTTAAATAAAGGACTTAATACATAGCTCAACAATAGTTGATAAAGTATCGCATAAAGTATGTTCCAGTCACTTTGTAATTGAGAATAAGAGTGCACATCTGCAGACAAATAGTTAAATCTGTGATTCTGGATTGCATTAAAATGTGCCACTGACAATGCTTGGTGCCTGCATCCACTGCAGTATTGCACTGAGCACATATTTGGATCAGTTTTCAAACTCTATCAAAGATGAAAAGTCAAAAGTTGATTTTAAAAAAAAAATTTGCTATGTTTTGATTAGTGGTGGCGGATGTGTTTAGTGGTGGTGCTTGTCACTACCCGATCCATACCGGAAACCCGATCGGTACCCCGCATGCGCAAATCTTACGTCACTTCCTCTCTTTGCCAACATTGCGACATTCAATATATTTGAATGATACGGTTAGCGCCCAGTTTGCTCCTAGCATTTCTCAGCAGCTCTGCCTCCTTTTCGACTACCGGGACATTTAAACAATGGATAATCCATATCCGCAAAAAATTTTGCTGTTCTCCTCAACAGAGAGCGTTCCCCGATTGAACAACAGCGCCGTAAAATAAGAAGAATGGTGCCTAATGACAGAGTTAATAATACAGACATTATAATATGT